CTGTAAGCATCCCTCTGCTGCTGAAGGGTAGCAGCTCCACAGTTGCCCAGGTTCCCCTGGTCAGAGCCTCTTTCCTAGTCTGATATATGGTGAGTCTGTCTAAAGCCAGGACTTAGTGGGAGCACAGACAGGGAGTGCATAAAAGGAAAATTTTGGGGAGAAGTGAAGCCAGAAGTACAGAAGGAAATTTCTAAAGAGGCGGTGGAGGCACTGCAGCCTAGCACACGCAAGGTAATCATGTGCCAGGATCTCCCACTTTTGACAGGAAAGGCAGCTATCAGGGTGTCCATGAAGCATGCCAGATGCTGGAGATGGGCCTATTTGATGTGTTGTAGTGTCATGGGCTTAGGGCCATCATGAAAACCTATAAGCCTCCCTTAACTGGGGACACAACAACCAATGTATTGGGACAAATAAAAAGAAAACAGGAAGGGGAGTAAGATCATACATTAATAACAAAGGATCTGGAAGGGCACACCAAGCAGAGCATGCCAGCCAGTGTCCACTGCCCCCAAAAAGAGTGGAAGGAGCCTGAGGACACCGACCAATGAAACTCTGCCCAGAAATGTAATCAGAGGAGTCACAAAAAGATATTCCCACACTCGCCCAGGTACCTCCCAGCCAGAGCCTCTTTCTTGGTCTTTGATGGCTATAAAATTATATTTAGAGGTTTACTTTTAGGAATTGGCTTGTAGATAAAGTAGATATTTCATTAGAACAATGGTCCAGGGCAATGGTGAGGGTTAACTGGTTTCTAAAATCCTGTTTGTGACAAAGTTTCCTTCAAGGCCCACTGTCTGAAGCCAGCACACACACAAGCTGGGAAATTGAAGACATGTACCACACTGTTCCATAACATAAGGAAGGGACTCTGCCATATTGGCTAGGTCATAGTGAGCAGCTGCAGAGCCCTTAGGATTTCTGGTTTTGGTGGACAGACGAAATTAAGGTACTGGTAAATGACCAAATTAAGATGTGTGCATGTGATGGGTTTGATGGAACAAAGGATTATACTGACAGGACAGAATATGCACAGTATGATGACCACAGGGAAACTAATTAACAGTACCCAGGAATGAAGAGTCATCAGAGGAGGAAAAGGATATAGAAGGAGGGATTTCAGAGCAGCAAAGGGTCCTCAGGGGGGGAACCCAAGGCCACCATAGACAGAGGGCACACCATAAGTCTTTACCTACCCCACTGTGGGGGAAGGTGGGCCTTGGCCCCCGACCTCCAGGCTGCTGTCATCTGACATTCTAGAAAGAACCACAGGGTGAAGCTTGCGTACTGGCCGGACATACCTTCCCTATATGGCAGCCCTAGTACTGGTAGATATAGAATAGGGAGGGAAGGTTATTGTGTTTTCCTTGCCTGCATTATTCTTATCTGCTATTACTGTGTATCAATAAAATTAACCTATTATCAAATGGAGAAGTTGTGGTTGATCTGAGGGTTTGGGTCTGCCCAGAATAAGGTATCTGGGTCATAAATCCAGTGCCAACAGTCTTGTGGGTGGCCAGCTTGCCTAGAGCCAAGGGGAGAATGACCAGGAGGTCCAGGGCGCTGGTGAAGCCACAGATGGGGAATGCATAACAAAAAAGGTGCAGGGAGAAGTGCAGGCACAGCAGGAGGTTCTGCAGCAAGCAGAAGAAGGGATGCAACCTGGCACACTCAAGGTAGGCAAGTGCCAGGGTGTCCCTCTGTGGGCAAAAAGGGGCAGGTGTTGGGGGTGTCTGTAAAATGTGCCAGATATATACCCACTGCTGGGGACGGGACTTTTAAGACATCAAGGCAAAACACAGACCTAGTTGCCCACCAAGGAAGCTATGAGCCCCCTTTAATACTGGCAGCCACTAGTGTCGTGTTACTGATTACTTGGGACAAATAATAATGAAAATGGGGACATAAGTGGAGGTCAAAAGGTAATAACTAGTGCGCCAAGCGGGGGGAACACCAAACAAAGCACACCAGACAATGCCCACTGGCCCTCAAATGAGTCCAAGGAACCAGTGGACACTGCCTCAGAAACAGGAATGAGCAATGGCAAGGAAAGTGGCCCCATAGTACCTTGTGACCCTCTGAGCCAGAGCCTCATTCCTGGTCAGATACCCATCAAGCTTGGCCAGGGCCATGAGGAGGTTGACCAGGAGGTCTCAGGACTTTGTGGGATCATAAGCAGGGAGTGCATAAATGAAGAGGTGAGGGGAATATGGCAGCCAGAAACTCAGCAAGAGGTTGTAGAGGAGGTGCATAGGCAAGACGTTCTGGAGGCAACACAGGGGCTGCAACCTGGCACATTCGAGGTAGGCATGCACCAGGGTCTCCCTCTGTGGGTGAAAAGGGCAGGTGTCAGGGGTGTCTGTAAAGTGTGCGAGATACACACCCACTGCTGGAGACAGGATACTGGGAAAGATCCTGTAGTGTAACCCAGTAAGGAGGTTTTGTGTTCTTAGCCTAATTTGACTTTTGCAACTTGTGAAATCATATTCTTAAACTGCCAGAGAGAGGAAAGTAGATAATAGAAGAAGCCGTGTGGTAAGTTCCAGACCTCTACAGGGGAAAAGAGCCTGCGCTTCTCCCAGACAAACACTGGATGGATCAAAGTGACTGCAGAAAACACACACTGCAGTATACTTTACTGTTTCTGTGGAAAGAAACACCATTCCCCTCCCCCAGTCATGCCCCTGAAATGTTAGAACACACGTTCAACATAGAGTGCAAATGGATATGTTGGCTAGCCCCCAGACTTTGCATAAGTGGGTCACTAGTCTGCAAACCAGCAGCACTCTTTTGAAAATGTGCTAATAGAGGAAGAAGTGTTGTGAACCATTCCTTTCATCCTGTCTGATGTATTCAGAAAACAGGACAGGATGGATCTTTTTTTTTCTATCGGATATAATATATGTTCACCGTGTTAAGTACATACACCATCAAGGAAATGCTCTGGATCTTATTTAAAACCATAAACATGAGGAGATTTACCACTAATTCATTCATACACCAGCTTTGAGAAAGTGTCTTTGTTTTTTTTCTCCCTCCCCACCCCAACGTATTTCAGGAATAAACGATTTATTGAAACAAGCACTGTGCATTAAAATGGCAGGATAGTGACTATAAAATAGAATTTACTACCTGAACACAATTATAAAGCATAACAGCCAACAATTAGCCCTACCCTGAAGTAAGAAGAATGTTTATACCCTCACAGCTTTAATAAACTTAGGCAAACCTCCAGTATTGCTCTCTGAAACACAGGCAAGGCACTCAACAAACAGTCTTCATTTGACATGCTCTCATGACCAGGGATCCTGGTTTTCTCTGATTTAAAAAAAGCCAATTTTCGATCAAAAAAAAAGTAACCCCAAATCCACATTTTTTCCATTTTATTTAAATGAATCATCACAAAAAAAAAAAAAAAAATATATATATATATATATATATATATGATGTTTCTCTCTCAATCAGCCGATATCCCAGGGTTGTTTATGCCTAATGAATCCAGGCAAATGCTTCCACTGCTCTCCAGCTCCCATCCTTATACCTGAATCACTGGTTATCAGGAGGGAGGAATGGAATTTTTCCATAGCAGGTTATGAGCAGGGATCCTGGTTTTCTCTGATTTAAAGAAATCCCCAATTTTTGGTTAAAAAAGAATAAGCCCAAATCCACATTTTTCCTTCATTAAAATGAAACACCACTATATAAAGAAAAATGTGGATTTGGGGTTACTTTTTTTTTTTTAACCAAAAATTGGGGGGATTTCAGTAGCTGCTGATTTTCTGTTCTGCCCTATTCATCCAGTGCTCTTTTTAAAGGGCTAGGAGACAGAGTATTTTTTCCACTGAGTGAACTGTATATGCTCATATATTCAGTATAAATGTTAAAACTATTCTGAAGCATCTGACCTTTAGGGCAAGCTGCAAAGCACATGTACTATTCTGCCTGGCTTTTGGAAGATGGTTAGTGAAGAGGATTTTAATTTTAAACTACCAGGTTTTACTGTTTGGGAGAGCAAAGGTAAATATAAATTATAATAACTGTATTTTAAGTGCTGTCAAAGGCACACAGAACTAGGGGAAGTGCTCATAGATCAATTTTATATACATTAAAATAAGTTATATATTTAAAAAGCAACAACAAATTATAACCAGCAGGACTGAGTGAAATATTCTGCAAGGACTAGGGACCCAGGAGTTAAGCCTTATCAATCAGGCTTGAATGAAACATGAGACAAAAGTCCAAGCTAAAGTTGAAGAATGATGCACTGAAAAGCCATTGATCCAGATTATTCCTTCTTAGAGTTGCTTTGTGTTAGTTTGCTAACCCAGATTTTATAGACAATAAAATATTCCCCCAGCATGGAATCCTCCATTTATACTCACTCTCAAAAACCAATTTAGGGGCTATCTTAAACCTGAAACTAACAGAAAGGGTATCTTTTTGGACAATGATTTTCATTACAATTTAGAGCAGACTTTGGTATGCTGGCACTTGCACTGAAGGCTGGACCTGGTCTAGAAAGTCTCAGGAATAGGCAGTAAAAATAAAATAATAATTTCATGGCCCTGGCCAGGGCCACTTTTTGGAAGGATGTTATTTATTTTAGACCTTTGTCTAAATAAAGGGAACCCATTTTGCAAAAGCATCACCAAACACCTGAGTGTTATTCTATGGCCAATGTTACATAGGATGTTCAATTAGATTATCATAATTGCACCTTCTACCTTAAAATCTATAACTCTTTAAGCACATTTATTCTATAGTAACTATCTAAGGCCTCCAGAGAGCTATCTGCTGTTGTTCAAGGACACAAATTATATGCCATAATGTATTTTATATTCTATATTATATAGTTATATACTCAATTGTGTGTTAATTGGAAAATACACTTGAAACTTACTTAAATTTAGTGTGCTAAGTCTACAAAAACATAGGATTGATGCTGCTCTAAATCTTAGCCACCTTTAGAAATAAATAAGTCTACTAAGCATCTTTGGTACCTTCTTTGTCATCGTGACATATGATTGCATCCTGTATCATGTCAGCAAGGTTGAAATGGACTCGATGTTTTTTTCCATGTTTCAGCTTTTTCACATATCCATCCTGCTTTTGCAACGCTTTTTCTCGTTCATAATATGCCTTTATTTGATCACAGCGCATCCGCTTCACCAGCCGCTGACGCTGGCCCAAAGGGAGGGACTCCAGCAAGCACTGGTCAATTTCCATGTCATGTGATCGAAAAACATTACATAGCTGGAAACAGCCTAAATGAAATGAAATATAAACAAACAAATTTAGGCTGTGTAACAATATGCTTTTAAATGTTCTATAAAATGCCTGCCACACTTCTTGTAGCTCCTATTTAAATATGTCAAAGTACTTATTATGTTTGTTTAACTTAGGTGGTGAATGCCAGTTGGAAAGTGAATATATTATCATCATGTGGTTTACAGAAACAACATGCAATTAATGCCATGAAAGCAACAATTATTTTTTTAAAATACTAACTTCAATTCATATATACAAAAGAGAACATAAAGAGGTCAGAGAGTTCAAACATATGAAATGGATAAGGCATGTAAATAATTCACTGTAATACAAGTAGTTAACTTTTGCCTAGAAACTAGACAATATGTACAGTACAGACTAAGTCTGATGTTTGTGCCTCCATTGTATTCTTTTACATTTTGCTTTGGATAAGCAAATTCCTGTTACTCAGTGAGAAGAAAAATCTTCATATCATAGCTGTAATGAGTTCATTAGCACACTATGGGTACTCAGGCAACTATCATTATGAATTCACAACCACACAATTTTTTTCACATTTATTTAGCAGGCCAAGTTGAATCTTCTAATGAAAAAGATGTCAAGAACTTAAGACAACACAAATTATAAACTCTATCTCAATTAGTCTTAGCCTTATTTAATGTCATTCATAGTATGTACCCTGAAGTCAGACTCCTATGTTAAATTTTGCTTTTTTGCCTATATTGATGTGGTGGCAAATTATTTTTCAAAATGTATTTGTGACTTGCTGGTTGGATCTCATAGAGATTCATGGGTTGTGGAAACTGTTAGCTAGTAAAGCTAAGTAGTTTAGCTCTACAAGTAAAGGCTCTTGGTTCTGTTCTTTAAGCCCAAATTCAGTTACCACTGGTGCTAACCAACTCAGGGATTTTATGTTGTTGTACCATCTTCAGAGGCATAGCAAGCTCACTAACTGCCTGGAGTGGAGGGGTGGGGGGGGCAAGATTATGCTAACTACAGTAGACTGGGCAGGGGGCACGTGTGGGCGAGGTAAAGGGAAGTGAATGATTTAGAAGTGAATAGAACAGGCCAGCAAACAGTGGCGTTTGAGTGGAGAGTTTGTTGGGGAGTTTACCCAGATAATTTCCTTCTCATCCTTCCTTCACTGAAATCTTGCTTGAAAGCAGGTGAAGAAAGAGAAGGATTTCCCCCCCCCCACCAAAAAAAAAAATACAGTAGCAGAAGAGAAAGGAACTAGCACTATAATCAACATGATGGTTGGAATATGCCAAAGCTCCTGCCACTGCGAGCCCTTCCTCTGCTTGCACCTGTGGGACCTCTGTCCAGAAATGGCATGCCTGTGTGAGAAGGCAAAACTCAAAGCCCGTGAGCAGGGTGGGTCAATTATCTGGAGTCTGTCAGGAAGACAGTAGCAGTACAAGCCAAGACTGCAGCAGCCTAAATACAGGATTGAACCTTGCTGCCCAGACACTTCCTCTTCTGGGTCAGGGGTTTATAAGCTGATCCTGACAGGCTGCTGCAGTGGCAGGCAATGGACATGTGGCTAGGCCCAGGTGAAGGTTCTAGCCACCTGTGTCCACCCTAATGCTCTACTGAGGAGATAGGAGGCCAGGATGAGTGGTTATGCCAGGTAGGCTGAGACCTCAGGTTCAAGACCACAGCTTGACATCACTACCATCTATTGCTTCCTTTTTGTAGCAGTGGTCTCATCTCCCCACTGAGGCTTCCACACAGGTTCTGACCTAGCTTTGCAGGAACTGTGTCTTTCTTAGGGATGGCCAGGTGGGGAGTACTTATAATGTGAGAGGTGCCTTCTGGTGGATTCTCTCAAGAATCAGATATGGGAGATGCAGGAGGAGGTGGATAGGTTCAGAAGCATCTGAGAGCATGAGGCTTCCATTGACTGTTCTGCCCACAAAGATACACCCAGCATTATGAAAAAGAGACAGCCAGAGAAGACACCAGAAGCTACAAAAGATGCAGGTTCTCAGGGGGAAACTGGCAGCTTGTCACCTCTGGCAACAGACAGTGCTCTTCTTCTGGACCTGTGGCTGTCCAACTGGAACAGGTATGGAGGCCTTGCATCAGAGGAGAAGGAGCCCACTACAGTGGCAAGGAAAACCAAACCATGCATCCCCAGGGAATATAAAACCACTGCTACAAAAAGGAAGCAATAGATGGTGGTGATGGCAAGTTGTGGTCTTGAACCTGGGGCCTTGGCCTAGCTGGCATAACCACTCATCCTGGTCTCCTGTCTCCTCAGCAGAACACTGGAGTGGACACAGGCATCCAGAACTTTCACCTGGGCCACCCCTACCACTGTAGTGGCCAGTCAGGGTCAGCTGACCCCCCACCCCTACTCTCACTTCCAATATAAAGCCCTGACCCAGAAGAGGAAGTGTCTGGGCAGCAAGATTCAATCCTGTATCTAGGCCCAGCTAGGAACAGATGCATTCTGGAGATGAACATGAGGTTGGGTAGATGGTATTGCCAGTGGGGCTTTGGCTTCTTTAAACATTGGGTAGTCTTTGAGGAAGATGAATGCTGGGAAGAGATTAGGTCCACCTGACAAAGAGAGGGACAAATGTCTTCTCACACAGGCTTGCAAACCAACTGAGGGATGAGGGCTTTAAACTTGCTTCACTGGGGAAAGGAGAAAAAAGCCCAGAGGTAAGGAAAGTGCCTGTGGACCTGGATAAAAAAATTAGTAAAGGGAAGCAATAATGGAAGACTTAGCAATGTTCTTAGTGAGAATACAGGACTGTAGCAGGGGCTCAGATGCAGCCCCTGCTATATACCCCTGTAGGGCCAGCAGCGCCAGTGTGAAATGTACCTGGCTGGGTCTGGGCAAACACTGCTTCCTTGACACACCAGAGATGAGGTCCAGGGGGAAACTGGAGTGACATGCAAATACCTGGGACCGGAGAACATATGCCCTGGGGAGCTGGCATTGATTGGCCTGGGAGGAAGCCTGAGCTGGCACAGCATTTAGCATCTCCAGGAACAACAACTGCACAGCTGGACCTGGAGGACAATCAACAGAGATAGGGACCCAGCCAGCCAAACACATGGGCAAAGGACAGCCCCCCAGCATGTCCGGAGAGATAAGTAACAGTGGACGGTGTGGTAGTGGTGGGTGGTCCCCACAAGCAAGTAGGCAAGGAACAAGCTGGGTAATTCCCCAGGAGATGGGTGGTCAAGCCAGCCCAGGAAGAGGAAAAGAGCAGACCCACTGAGCTGAGGGTAGCCTTGAGAGAGGCAGAAGCAGCCCAGACAAAGGAGGGATTTATCCAGTCTTACCAAGAGAATACCTGCAAGATTCAAACCAGTTGGTGTGAGCCTAGCTGGACACTCAAACCTGAGGAAAGCCAGTGGGATCAGACTAAGAATGCTAGATTTCAGAAAGGCAAAGTTTAATAAACTTGGGAAACTGGTGGGCAGGATCCCATGGGAGACAAGTCTCAGGAGGAAAAGAAGGAGTCCAGGAAAGATAGTGGTACTTTAGGGAGGCTCTTTTAAAGGCACGGAAACAAGCTGTCCAGATGGGATGGAAGAATGGACAGAAGTTGTCTCTTCTTGCAGAAATGCAAGAAGAGACAACCCTGGCCAGACAGGAATCTTTTCAACGAGCTGTAACTCAAAACTATATCTACCTATCCATCTCTCTTTCTATATATATATACAAAGTGGAAAATTGGTCATGGTACTAGTGAAAAATGTAAGAGTATTACACAGGTATGCAGACAGAAAATTAGGAAGGCCAAAGCATAATTTGAGATGCAGCTGCCATGGGATATAAAAGGCAATAAAAGGGATTCTACAACTATGTCAAAAGTAAGGGAAACAACAGTATTTAGTATCTTTTTCTACTTTGATTTTCATAAATAAGAGCAGCTACCAGTTGATGAGTGCAGTTGGCAGCAAAGATAAGTAAAGTTGACAGCAAAGATAGCAGGGACACAAACACCCTAGAGTAATGGAAGAACAGGTTAGGGATTACTTAGAGAAGCTAGATGCTTCCAAGTTAACAGGGCTAGATGGGATATACCCTACGATAATGCAGGAAGTGGCTGTGGTAATTTTCGAGCTATTGGCTATCCTCTTTGAGAACTCATGGCTGTCAGGTGAGGTCCCAGATGACAGGAAAAGGGTAAATATAGTGCCCATCTTCAAGAAAGGGAAGAAGAGGGAATGGGGAACTACAGACTAGCCAGCCTGACCTCTATAATAGCAAAGATCACCGAGAAGGTCCTCAAGGAATCCATTGTGAAACACCTAGAGATAAACAAGACAATAAGGAACAGCTAGCATGGATTCAACAAGAGCACATTATGCCTAGCTAACCTGATCTTCTCCTATGATATGACAGGATCTATGGTATATCATATCCACTGCTCTCCCCACATCCATGGTCTCAAGCTTGAGAGGAAATTTAGGTTGGAGATATGAAGGAATTTACTGACTGTGAGGGTGATAAAGCATTAGAACAGGCTACCCTGAGGAACTGTGGTATCTCCGTTTTTAGAAGTTTTCAAGAGCAGGTTAAATGGATGCTTGCTTGGAAGTCAGGGATGATCCTGTCATGAGCAGGATCTAGGGACTGTACTAGATGACCTTGTGAGATCCCTTCCAGCTCTAATGTCCTATGATGCTATGATCATCTTAGGTACCTTCAGCTGCTGCACTGGGCAATGTCATAACCCAGTGATTTTGGTGCCTCAGCACGATGGAATTTTCTTGCCACATGAGAGCCTCTTGCACAGCGAAGGTTTTTGCTGCACAGAGGAACCTCGGTGCAAGAGAGTTCCCGCCAATTTACAGCTTTCTTTGCAGGATGCATTTCTTCCTTGCAGCACAGAAATGCACGGTGCAAAGAGTTCCCGCTATTCGAATGCAAATTTGTGCCCCGCTATTGGCCAGCTCTAAATTATTCACACGTAGCGGCTGGTAATTGGCCTGCTGGCCGTTTAAATATTCGCGCGACTTCCGCCCAAGT